TGTGGTACAGAGCTGACAGAGCGGGCCAGGAGAGGCCACAGCTTGTACCCCGAGAACTGTCCAGCTACCAGGAGAGATGGCTATTCTGCGAGGCGGAGCAGAAATGGGTGACTAGCATAACACCCTGAGGGTGACGGCGCAGGGAATAAATGGCAGTGATGGGTTCTGGCTGCCAGGCTATGAACAGACCGAGGGAGAGGAAACCACGTGGTGCCTGCATAAAGGACAGGCACTGGACTGAAGGTAATGCAGAAACACTGCAGGAGTCAGCAAGAGAGGAGTGAAAGGCGATTCCAAGGGATCCAAACAATTAAAACAAGGGCCAGCTCTTGGACTAAAACATTCTGTAGTTCTTTTAAAGCACTAAGTGTAAAGACACAAAGGTGAAACTTACATGTTAGGGAAAGGAAAATCAGAGAAACATGTGGACATGCTCAAGAAAGCAGAGCAAGAGTGAAACGTTTGTCTAGAACAGGACCGGGAACACTGCCTGACAGCTGGGCATCAGCAAGGTCACGAGCTGCACGATGGCACTCAGAGCATGCTTCTAAGAGAGGTGCAATGATGGCTGCATACAGGCACAGGCGTGAGCTGGGCGCTGCTTTCCGCACACGCTCGCCCTGCCGAGCCCCATGGCACACACTCCCTACACTATTTCACTACACTTTCACTCAACATGTTCCTAACCAATCATTTATAACACACCAGCTATTTCTTGGAGCCCTTTTGAAGTTGTGTCTAAGTTTTCATCCACCTAGCAATGCTGATGAAAAGTTTGGTACCAATGTCATTCTTTCTCTTGGGGAAGAAATTTGTCTGGCGAACCTGGAACTTCCAGAGGATCCCTCTTATTTAATACTGCGTGGCCTGGCCTAATCTTGGTCATTTCAGAAGGACTCCTTGTAGCAAAGATGGGCCATAAGAGGGCTGTGCAGGGTCTATGCAATCGCATGGTCTGGTCCTGCCAAGGCTCTTGCTGGAAGGACCTAAAATTCAATAAACCCATACAACAAGCTCATTTATACGCTAACAGTTCTTTGCCATCTTGTGAAAGGTTTCTGAAACCTGATGATAAAAAAGCAGTTGGTGGGCTCAGTGGTGTGGCCTAGCGGCTAAGTTCCTTGCCTAGAACACACCGGGATCCCACGGGGGCGCCGGTTCTAATCCCGGCAGCTCCACTTCCCATCCAGCTCCCTGCTTGTGGCCTGGGAAAGCAGTCGAGGACGGCCCAAAGCCTTGGGACCTGCACCCGCATGGGAGACACGGAAGAGGCTCCTGGTTTCCAACTTCAGATCGGTGCAGCACGGGCCATTGCAGTCACTTGGGGAGTGAATCACTGGATGGAAGATCTTCCTCTCTGTATATCTGACTTTGTAATAAAAATAAATAAGTCTTAAAAAAAAAAAAGAAGGCAGCTGGTATAAATTCAAGAAAAAAAACAAGCTGATTATTTTTGCATAGCTCATAAACAATGTTATAAAAGTCTACATGGGGCCAGTGCCATGGTTAGTGAGTATATTCACAGCCTGCAGTGCCAACATACCATATACATGCCAATTCAAGTCACAGCTCCTCCACTTTTTTTTAAGATTTATCTTATCTTTATTGGAAAATCAGACATACACAGACAAAGAGAGACAAGAGAGGAAGATCTTCCATCTAATGATTCACTCCCCCGGTAACCGCAACAGCCAGAGCTGAGCCGATCTGAAGCCAGGAGCCCGGAGCCTCTTCCTGGTCTCCCTCATAGGTGCAGGGTCCCAAGGCTTTCGGCCATCCTCGACTGCTTTCCCAGGCCACAAGCAGGGAGCTGGATGGGAAGCAGGGCTGCTGGGATTAGAACTGATGCCCATATGGTATCCCAGCATGCAAGGTGAGGACTTTAGCCACAAGGCTACCACGCAGGGCCCACTCCTTCACTTCCGATCCAACTCCCTTCTAATATACCTGGGAAAGTGGTGGAAGATGGCCCTTCCCATCTGCTGGGGTGCATGGGCCCAAGTACGCCCAGGAGATTCAGAAGCAGCTCTGGGCTCCTGGCCTAGGGCCAGCCCAGCTCCAGCCACTGCAGCCATTTGGTGAATGCACAGAGGACAGAAGGTCCCAGGCTCACTCTCTTTTTCTCTCTCAAATCAATAAATCACATCTCTTGGCAGGAGAAAGGTTCACCACAACTCCTACCACACATGCACACTTATTTCCAGAGTTGCTTCCGCACGTACCAACAGGGGTCATGCAAGTGGTGCTTGCAGCCTCAGGCTCCTGCACGGTGCAGCAGCAGGCCATGTCCACCTGTTGGCACTGTTTAGTGAGCAGGACTGGACTTAGGATTAGTCCCTGGTTGCAATGGCAGCTGAGTGGCTGTGCAGGCTGAGGAAAATCCTGTGAACGGAATATGCCTGTGTAACCATGCCACAGGGCCCACCACCTCGACGTCAGGGTCAGTGGTCTGGAGAAAAAGCACACCCCAGGCCACAAGGCCTGCAGGTGACAACCAGACCCCTAAGTGAAGTCCCCAGGTGCTGCTGCTGTCCTGAACCCTCAGGCTTTTCAGCATAAGCGCACACAGCAGAGCACTCGCGAAGGGCATGAAGCTGCCCACTACAAAGTAGCCTTATTCTGATGCAAATTTTTTAAATCCATAGACATTTTTCATAACATGCATTTTTCTCAACTTCTCATACAAAAGTACCATTTCTTAACGGAATAATAAGGAACAACCCGCTACAAGAAACCAGCTATTTTGTGATAACAAATCTTTACACTCTCCAAGGAGTTCTGATTGCTGTGATCCAAGAGTCTTCCTCATAGCCACCTTTTCCAGCACAAACACAACGCAAGCCACACATGTAATTTAAAAATCACTAGAAGCCAAATTACAAAGAGTAAAAGCCTAAATAATAGCACTTATTTAGTCTGCTAGATCAAAAATATTATCATGTCTAATGCTGACAAATCACTGCTGAGACGTCTCTCCTCCTCCTAAGACCGAGACCGGGGGTGTGAGTCGACCCTGAGACAGAAGGTGCCAGCCAGAGCTCAGGAATGTGTGTGGCAAACAGCTGCCCACATCTACCCCACGTCTACCCTTGCAGGGCCTCTGCTTCTGGCCACGGGCTGGCCACAGCTCCTGCACTGCTCCTGTTCTTGACCACCACCTCCTATAGTTCTAACCCTATCAGGCCCTCAAGTGCTGCCATGTCACTTTCATCTTACTACCCATTTCTGCACCTGTAATGTCCCTTCATTTGCGGCTTCTTACCAAAGAGATAAGGCTGTCACAGCATGCTTTTCAGTACAGTTTGTTCAGGAATAATGAAAACAACTGCATTTTTTAAAAAGATTTATTTATTTTTATTGGAAAGTCAGCTATACACAAAGGAGAGACAGAGAGGAAGATCTTCCATCTGATGATTCACTCCCCAAATGACTGCAACAGTGGAGTTGAACTGATCCAAACTCAGGAGCCTGGAGCCTCTTCTGGGTCTCCCACGCAGGTGCAGTGTCTCAAGGCTTTGGGCCATCCTCAATTGCTTCCCCAGGCCACAATTAGGGAGCTGGATGGGAAGCTGGGCCGCCGGGATTAGAACTAGCAGCCATATGGGATCCCAGCGTGTTCAAGGCAAGGAACCTAGCTGGCTAGGCTACGGTGCCGGGCCCCAAACACTGCATTTTCAACCGCTATCACTTTAAAGCATCCAGTGAACATGGGGTTTGATACCCAGTCTTCCATCTATGACCCAGGATCATGCAGACTTCATGTTATCCTGGGAAACATTAAATGACGGTCATGTAATGCCAATCTGATTTCTCTGCCTCAACTTGAATGCCAACAAAGGGCAAGAGTAAATCAATTTCAAATATTTATGAATCACCGCGAAACAAACGACTTTCGGCCCAAGAGGTTTGCTCCCACTGACCCGCAGCACTGCACGCTTGGTGCCTATTGGCGACCTGAGCCCTGGCACCTGGTGTAGGTTTCCACACTGGCAGCCAGCTGGCACACCTGGAGTGGCCCACGGTGCTCTCTGCGGTGACAATCCTCCTACAAAGCAACCAAAGCTCGCTTGTTACAGTCTTCCCAAAGTGAATTCTGTGGTATAATTTTAAGTCCTGAATATTTATTAAGTGAATGGAAGATCTGTCTATCCTTCTCTCTGTAAAATCTGCCTTTCCAATTAAGAAAAAAATTTAATAATAAAAAAAATTTCAGCCTTAAGTCTAAAACTATCCAATCCCTTTACTTAATTAATAATAGTTAAGGCATATAATTAAAACAACAGCAAATTCATTAACTTCATTACTGTAAAAACAAAGTAAAAAAAATATGTTGAATTTTCCAGTCACTCACTACTTAAAGGTGAACGTAGAGCAAGTGGAAGAGGAAGAAGGTATTTCCTGAGCACTTGATCAAAGAGAAACCCTCCCTGAAGAAACTACAAACTGAACCAGTTTTCTAAAATCGTGGCGCTCCGGTCCCATGTTCTGCTCCTTCCCTCTCTTGGCCTATCTCCCTTCCAGCAGCAACTCCTTGCACAGCCTGGGAGTAACTTCTGGAAAGGCCGGTCTGCACTGCGCCGTCCTGCGGCGCCCTCTGCAGGCGCTGAGCTCCAGCAGCACAGAGCATGGGATGGGACAGTCAACACTTGGCAACAGTCACCATATCTGGAGCTCTACAGAGAGGGGCCATGCCTCTAGCTGTTTTACTTTCTTGTACTAATTTTTCTAAAAATTAAAAAAAAAAAATTACGACTACCAAGTCAATGACAGTTTCTAACTAAAATACTATGAATTCAGTTATTATTTTCCTAAGAAATTTTAGAATAATTAAAACTGTCAATCGCACAGTAACTGAATAAATCTAACAAAGTTACTATATCTGCAATATAGGAATTCCTTGACAAGTTAAATAAAAACTACAGCCTTACCTTTTCTTGTATGTGTCATTAAAGCATAACCCAAATACACATTATAGATGTCTTGTGGGAAAATGCACTTACCCTGACATCAGTAGCATCTCCATGCCTGATAATACTGGCCCAGGTGGTTGGCTCACTATTGCTTTCAAAATAATGAAAGACTTTTAACACTCGCTCCATGGCACCAGGGGAACGTTCCGTACCAGTTCCCAGGTGAATCTTAGTACTTGAATTTGGTGTGTGATTCAAGTTTGGGTCAAGGTAAGCAGCTGCCATTATTCTGCTGGATGCTAGGTATCTGTCATACTCTGTGAAAAAGAAAAAAAAAATAATTTTCAGTGTACGATACTCCATATCCACCACCACACTGTGATGCCGGACTGCACAACACTCCCATATTCTCTATTTACAACACAGGCTGAAGCAGCTGACGGACAGGGCCCTAACCGACCACAACCATCACTGTCTCACCACACCAGGGCACCTCCGGTTTACAAGAGTTCAACAAATCACGGACAGAACAGTACTCCTGTGTCAGCTATATCAAAAACTCGCTGTTATCCATAAACAATGAAACTCAACATCCCTCTTTTTTTTTTTAGTCACAGTCTTTAGTGAGAAAATCTCACAGTAATGTCAAATTAACTTGAGGTCTATTTTAAGAATTTCTACCAAAAAGTTTTCTCACTACATCAAAAATTCAGTAGGTATTAGAAACCGGTGTCAACACACCCTGCTGATCCAACAGCTGACTGCAAAAGCAAAATGTGGGGTACTCAACAACAAAACACCATTCCACACAAAAAAGAAATGAAGTTCTGAAGCACACAGCACAAAATCAGGAAACATTATTCTAAGTCAAAGCAGCCAAGCATTTAGGGCCACAAATTGTAATTCCACTTACAAGAAATCTCCAGTGTCTGTACATCTACACAAGCACTGGGCCAGGCAGCAGAAAGGGGACCACTCACTCGCAGAAAATGGGTTCCTCAGTACAATACTGCTGCACACTTGCAAGTGGCTAAAAATGCAAACTCTGTTGTGTCAACTCCACCTCAATAAAAATACAAACATGTAAATACTGCTGAGTAACTAAAAAACCAAAAAATGTTAAACATGCCATATTAGGAGCAGGCACTCATGCACTGATGGTAGGAACGCAAACTGATAAAATATTCAGGGCGAGGAATTTGGCAAGAGCTACTACAAGCCTTCTCATGCTCAGACTGAATGTGGTGGCTCCCTCCACCCAAGTCCATGCTGCCACTCTACTCCTCAATAGCACAGGAGTGGCCAAGGATGACACAAAGCCACGGGGATGGGCTCAGTGGTCCCACACAGCTAGCTCTGGCTCTCCAGCAAAGCTACAATGAAACAGATTCATCATGCAGCAGTGATCGAGGTGGAAACGCTCAAGACCTCAGCTTATAAGATACACAATCCATGTATTTTGTTACACAGTCTGAACTAAGGAATGAACAGTTAGAAAACAATAAGAAAACACATAAGCACAGCTTCTTCAAGTGCAGCCCTGGTGATCACTGGGCAACAAGAAACGCTCACACACAGATCAAACGAATACGCTGTGGTACATTCCCATCACAGCGGACCTAGGAGGCATGGCTCTATAACTGATGATATGACTAAGTTCTAAACCTGAAACACAAAAGACAGCTATCCTGTTATGTGTGTAAGCACCTGTTGTAAAAAGAGCAACAATAAAAATACATCTGTTTGTATGTGCAAAGAATAAATAAGAACCCAAAAAGCAGAAATGAAAGATGAGTATGACTGCTTACATATGGAGGCTTTACCAAGAGGGAAAGGCCAGCAACTGAGGGTGAAGAGTGGGGTGACAGCCAGGGGTGCCTGGGCGTGCAGTGGGGTGACAGTCGGAGGTGCCTGAGTGTGGAGTGGGGTGACAGCCGGGGGGGTGCCTGAGTGTGGAGTGGGGTGACAGCCGGGGGTGCCTGGGCGTGCAGTGGGGTGACAGTCGGGGGTGCCTGAGCATGCAGTGGGGTGACAGTCAGGGGTGCCTGAGTGTGGAGTGGGGTGACAGCCGGGGGGGTGCCTGAGTGTGGAGTGGGGTGACAGTCAGGGGTGCCTGAGCATGCAGTGGGGTGACAGTCAGGGGTGCCTGAGTGTGGAGTGGGGTGACAGCCAGGGGGGTGCCTGAGTGTGGAGCGGGATGACAGCTGGGGGGGTGGCCTGAGTGTGGAGTGGGGTGACAGCCGGGGGTGCCTGAGTGTGGAGTGGGGTGACAGCTGGAGTGTCCCTGAGCGTTCTCTACCCTGCCAAATCACCTTGAAAGGTGAACTGCACAGCAAACCTGATCCAAACTGACAGCATGCCCAACAGGAAACCTTAAAAGCTTATCAATCGCACATGTGTAAAATCTTTATCATTGGCCACATGACAAATGAAAGAGTATGTTCTGCGTTAAGATTTAATCCAGACACCAACTACAAAATCCACCATTGACTAGAAACTGAAAAATGTATTTCAAAAAATATTATCTAGTCAAAAAAATTTTCAAAATATACTTTATTTTTTTAAGATTTTGGGGGGTTGTGGGCAGCACAGTGGCCTAATGACGAAAGTGCTCACTCTGCACACTCTGGGACCCCAACATGACGCCGGTTCTAATCCCAGGGGCCCCGCTCCCCTTCCAGCTCCCTGCTTGGAAAGCAGCTGAGGACGGCCCAAAGCCTTGGGACCCTGCATCCATGAGGGAAGAGGCTCCTGGCTCCTAGCTTCAGATCGGCTCAGCTCCGGACACTGTGGCCACTTAGGGAGTGAATCATCAGACGGAAGATCTTCCTCTCTGTCTCTCCTCCTCTCTGTATCTCTGCCTTTCCAATAAAAATAAATAAATCTTTTTTAAAAGGATATATTGGGCCCGGCACGGTGGCGCAAGTGGTTAAGGTCCTCGCCTTGCATGCCCGGGATCCCATATGGGCGCCGGTTCTAATCCCGGCAGCCCCTCTTCCCATCCAGCTCCCTGCCTGTGGCCTGGGAAAGCAGTCGAGGACGGCCCAAAGCTTTGGGACCCTGCACCGCGTGGGAGACCCGGAAGAGTCTCCTGGCTTCGGATCGGCATAGCATCGGCCGTTGCGCTCACTTGGGGAGTGAATCATCGGACGGAAGATCTTCCTCTCTGTCTCTCCTCTCTGTATATCCGCCTTTCCAATTTAAAAAAAATAATAAAAATAAAGATCTTTAAAAGGATATATTTACTTTATTTGAAAGAGTGACAAAGGAGAAAGAGACAGACAGAGGGAGAATGAGTTCTTTCCACTTCCTAGTTCATGTCTCAAACTCCTGCATAGGTCTTGCACTGGGGTGGCATGCCCCCAAGTACTTAGACCAGCCTCCACTCTTTCCAGGCACACTCACAGGGAGCTGGACTGGTAGCTCAAACCTGCCCTGTGATGTAGCTTTCCCAGGCCACAAGCAAGAAGCTGGATGGGAAGTGGGACCACGGGGATTAGAAACGGCACCCATATGGGATTCCAAAGTGTTCAAGGCGAGGACTTCAGTTGCTAAGCTACCACGCTAGGCCATAAGTATATCTTTTTTAAAGTGACAGAAAAGTACTAATAAAATATAAAAAGTAATAACACTGAAGCTTCAGGTGAATGTTGTGGCACAGCCCGTTCAGCCATCACTTGAAATGCCCTCAGCCCAAGCTGGAGTGTTTAGGATTCAGTCTGGTCCCTGCTTCCAATCCAACATCCTGCGAATCCGATGGCTCAAGAACCTGGCTTCCTGCTGCCTGCCCCCAAGAGGCCAGAAGGGACTTCCTGACTCCTGGCTTTGACCTGGCCCAGCACCGAACCCATAGATGGAAAAAACATCTTTTCTTATGTCCCTTGCCAGCCTCCCGCCACTGTGCCTTGCAAATAAATGAACAAAATGTAATAATACATCATAACTAAAAGGAGGTCCTTCCAGGAATACAAAGGTGTTTACACATTTAAGAAGCAATTAATAAAACTCACATTTCAGAAAGCAGAAGAGTCATCACTGTGTCAACAAATGCAGATAAAAGCATCTGACTGAAGTCTACCAACCTTTCCAGATGCAACTTACGTTCAATAAAATTCAGCACCAGTCGGAAAATCCTCCCTCCCAGACTCAGAATAAAACATGGAGACCCCCACTCGGACTCTGTTAACACTGCTCTGAAGCCACCGTCCAATGCACAGGCAACAAAAGGGAAATAACACAAGCGTGAAGGAAAGCAAACAGCACCATTAGTCACAGATGACATGATTGCCTATGATACAAATGTTGACATTAATAATGGAATTTAACAAGGTTGCTGGATCATGAAACAAACCCATCTCTGATCAGTTTCTATCTTATCTGAGCCCCTCATTAGAAAGCAAGGCCAACTAAGTAAGCGGACAATCAACTGCAGGTGGTACCAAGAGACTACCTAAGTGAGGCTAAAGCAAAAGCATAACAGAGCCCAAATGTACCTTCTACAGCTCAACAATCAGTGGTGAGATTCTCCCTACGTCTCCAAAGAGGCCGAAAATAACTTCCGAGAGACAAACTCTTGTATAGTCATATGTTGTAGAATGAAAGTGTCCTACATGACAGAATGTGCTTTAATGTTTTTTTCTGCTTATCAACATCTGCTACCGTGTCTTGAACTCCCTGCAGGTGACCTGGGGCTGATGCTATACCCACCTCCCAATGCCCTGCTGGGCCTTCCTGCCTCCACATGTTAACTTTCTCCCTGAGCGGCCATGGATCTGCACGTCCTGAGGACTCACCATGCCTTGGTCACTTTGAAGGATGGCCTCAAGAAGGCCAGAGTTGCTTCCGGCTGCACTGACTAGTCTGTTTCTACCATGAACAGATGTCTCTGTGTTGTTGGGACTCACTGTTCAAGTGCAACAACTTGGGCTGCCCACTCGGTATGCCTACATAAAGAAAACCTTTCACCACTCCCCTTAACATGGAGTGGTGGTTTTTTACCACTGTTTCTTATGGTAGCCCTTATGCATCTCTTGACACTGTTACGGTTTTAGAACTTTTTCAGATTAAGCAGTCACAGGGACCTGTGATTTTGGCATACTGTCCAGACTATCTTAAAATGACAACCACCACCACCACTATCTGTACCCTGCCACCATCACACCCAGCTGGCAGATGATGCCACACATTGCCTAAGCAACGGGCTCTGGGCAAAAATTCGGATTAGGGGGATCAGCACAGTAGTCTAGCAACTAAAATCCTCACCTTGAACTCGCTGGGATCCCATATGGCTGCCAGTTCTAATCCCAGTGGCCCTGCT